GGCACTCAACATACTACTGAGGAAGAGCTGAGAATCTTTAGAGTACTAATGGTGTTTATGATGTGGTTAGATTAAAGGGTTCCAGATGGCTAGTTGCTGAAATTGCCATGCAGTGGGAAAAAAAAATAAAAAAAAATTCCGATGCTTCAAAAAAGAATTATAGGGAATATGGAACGTAAGACTCACGAACATGAAAAGCTGGAATGAACTGACTACACGTTGACACGTTCAGTCAGAAGTCCACAGTGTTTATTACTCGGGACACAAAACCCGAAAAGGAATGGCATTGCTTGCATACTCAGGAAGGATATACCGCAGCCGGTACTTGGATGCAGTCAGTGACCGAATAATATCAGTTAGACTTTGTGGACAACCCTGGAAGTTATCCACGTTTATGCTCCAACCGTTGATGCAGAAGCAGTGGATGAGTTTTATGGTCAAGTTCAATCCGAAATTGACAGAACATGCAAACAAGACATGCTGCTTGCGGTTGGAGACTGAGATGCCAAAGTTAGAAATTGTAAGGAGGAAAATGTAATTGGACTATATGGCCTAGGGAACGGAAATGAAACAAGTTATCAGTTCCCGCTAATCCAGCTATTTCTTTATTGCTAATCCAGTGTTCCAACAACCAAAATGACATCTATATACGTGGACGTCACCAAATGGAGCACGCAGAATTCAAATTGACTCCGTTATTGGTACAAGGGAGCGGAAGAGCTCAGTGATAACACCAAAGACTTAGCCAGAGGCCATCATGAAGGGCTCATATGCAAGTTCCAAGTTAAGCCAAAGCAGAAGGAGAAAGCCAACCAGTTTCCATGATATGATCGTGGCTGGCTGGGGAATTCTGGGAGCTGAAGTCCACACAGCTTAAAGTTCCCAAGGTTGAGAAACACTGTTCTGCGCTCGGATTGCTCCAAGGCTTAGCTAAACACCAACGGATTTAGGAATTAAAGGGCTGTGAAATGAGCGATCACTTCTATCATTATACATTGGGAAATCTATGGTGGGCAGGATAGACTAAAGGACCGAAGTGACATCAGGCAAAGTGAAGGCAGAACAGCATCTACTACCTGTAGTTCCTGTATAGTTTGCTAGATGTGGCTAGACTGCAGTTCCCAGGATGTTTACCATTAATCATGCTGGCTAGGACTGATCAGCACTGGAGTTGCCCATTTATCTTCGTACAAGGCACTTTTTAGCCATTATCCCCCCCCCCTTTTTAAACAATTGCTCAAAATAATTTATTTGTTCAGTGTATAAGGCCAGTTTTTCTATCCCTCACTTGGGGACCGACCAATAACCTTTGACTACGTTATTAAGGATAGTTACGGCTTCCCTTTTCGCATTTCCGCCCCGTTCTGGGAAA